AGAGAACCTTGATTTTTGCAAAAAAAAAAACGATGAGCATAGGTTGCGTGGAAGAGCGCCACTTAACTGCGGTTCTGCAAATTTGCAGTTAAGTGCGAATGTCGCCCATAACTCTATGTGTATGTAATCCCGTATTAGAAGTTATTATTATTTGTTATTTTTCTACCGTTTCCTTTGTATATATTATATGTGAGATTATGAGCAATAAAGTCATTATTATTATTATTATTATAAAATTTTTGAACAGGTTATAAAAATAGCCTAAAAGTATCGCATAGGGTTCAACTCAAAATTGTCTAGGTGCTCTGCTGCCTTCTTTGACATTAATTTGTAGATTGCTACGTTTATCTTCTAAATATTAACAATTCGTCTTCAGTCTCAGTCTTTCAGATTACAATTCGCGACAAGTCAAAGCGTGAGTCGACCGTTCGCGCTGGCGTAGTTTGGTCTCTAAAAGGATCAGAGACTAATACTGGTGATTCGAATACGAATCCTGAAAGATTTTCTCGGCGAATCCGGATCACGGATCCTTTTTTTCTTAAGGATTCGAATACCGCTCGCGGATCCTTAAAAAGGATTCGAATCCTATGTGATTCGAATCCTCCCCAGCTCTGGTACTAATTATGTAGGATTGTCAACATTCCAGCGATGCTGACCCCGAAAAAATGTTGGTTGAGGAATACGCGCAAATGACCTTTTTGCTTTTCGGTCATGAACCTAATTATAATATCCGAGACCTATGTGATACCTTTTATTTTAGCTCATCAATCTAATTTTAATTTGTGTACTTTTTATGTACTACGTTTACTATTTGGGGCACAATATGTAGGTACTAGGGCACAACATTTTCCCAGTGGTTTACCCCTACACTACATTAAAATAGTAATATTTCAATGATTGATGCAGTAAAAATGCAGTAATTAATATTCTAATATTATGAAGATAGTATACATAAAATAATTGTCAATTATGTTTAAGTTTTGTTTCTATATTTTTTTTTGTTCTCAAATATTTTGTATATGTGCAGGTATTTTATTGGAAATTTTATAAAGATATGATTGATCGTTTTTAAATGTGTGCTATTAGAAATGTTCTGAAAAATATTGTGCCATCACCGCCTACAATTGCTTGTATTGTAAAGTAGTTGTTGAAAGCAAATATACCTATATATTGTTGTTACGTGAATTCCAATAATAAAGATTTTGCTTATCGTGTCCCACTTATTTTGTTATTCTTATTTTACACAAAATATAAGCTAGAGCACTTTATAATCGTGTTCATTTGTAAATTCGTGCAATCGATGGTCTGGCAACTATGCCATTTTCCCAAATACTATCGATGATACACGATACATTGAATAATCCTATAGAGAATCAAACTTAAGCATTCAGGATGAGGATAATATTTTTTCTATAACACCCTGTAGCTCTGTTTAAACAGATGTCCCTAATTTGAAATTTCTCTTACTATAAAACGTTGCATTGGCAAGAGTGAATGCAGGTGCAAGTTAAAATTTGTAATCCAACTTACGATACAAAGATTCTCTTTGATAAGAGAAACTTGACTATACCCTTAGGCTTCTGTTTACTATCACGAATTCCCCGTTACTGGTAGTTTCTCTTCAGATGTCGATAGTCGGGAGATTAAAGACGATTTAATTTAATACTAAAAGACCGTGTAATTTTTTATTTTTTCATAATTGAGTGACAAAGACGTTTAATGTATAGATAATAGGAGAACCCTTGCTGTATTGATTTTTTTATTCGAATTAATTAATTAAATTAATTCTACTGATTATGTCACTCACAAAGTAATAATTTCCTATAATTTTAGTTGATTAATAATAATCAATAATCATATACCTATATTGTAATTATAATTAATAGGCTGATAATCATATTTGATACATTTGGATGGTGTTATACAACAAAGAATTATTCAACATTTTTTTTTACAACGAAGTTACCTAAACTGAAGTGTCTCCAAAACCTTTGCGATTTTTGGTTTACCCTCGTTTCTGGTTTATAACACAAATTTTTTGGGAAATCTTCCGGTAGCCAAAAAAATTGGTTAAATGACATGCGAACTATTTTCGACCAGTCCGGTCTTGCTCTAATCTCTTAAGTCCCTCTGTGCCTAATTTGAGCCTCTACGGTCTCCACTTTTTAGATTACCAAGAGTATTACATAGAAGGCTGGATCCGGAAACGTTTCTATTTTCAGATGAATCGCCTTCTATAAATTCTTCAATTTCTTTTGATACATGACCTATGAAAAATTAAATTTCATCCTAAATGGAAAGTAAGATCTGTTCTTACTCCTTGAGAAAGTTTCTTCTATTGTTTCTTCTACAAAAAATCATATGTCTTCCTTGGAAAATAAAGCTTTTTCTAATAGTTTCTTATTTAGACAAAAAATATATGGAGGTACCAAAAAAGCAAGTGCTACAACCGAACAATAACAAGATCTTCTTACGCCTTTAAAAGAGTACATACTGGTACATAGCACTCTTGCCATCATCAACAACGCAGGGGATTCGAATCTATATTCCGGAAAAACTTTGGTCGACTACCAGAACTTTAAGATCGATTACCAGCCCCTGCAAAGCTCTGTAACTTTAAGATGGATCCCGTTACTTTTTCTATCTGGTAACAAATAACACCTTCCACTTATCATAATGTACATCTAGCTGGATTGGAGGATTATTAGCAACATGGTGGAAGTAATCTTTTAACATACCGAAGTCCAAATACAGGTCTGCAGCCATTCGCCCAGTGTCCAGGTTACAACGATGACCGTCCCTTTTCACTTCTATGTAACTGGAAATTATAAAAGAGGATCCACTTGCAGATATGTACAACCATTCAGTTTCAGTTCCATAAAAGTTCCAGTAGGAACTATCTCTTAAAAAGAGGGCAATGCTCTAATTCCTTAAGTTCCCTGCCTTATTTGAGACTCTTATAAATATAAATCAGTATCTAAGTGTAAATAAATTTTATAAATAAACTTTTTAAATAAATAAACGTTACATTATTAATAATAGTTGAAGTTGGTGAAAGAACAAGAACATATAAGGAAGTATCTAGAATTTTTAGAAGTCATATTTCTCAAGTAACCAAACAATTATAACACTATGATTAACATTAATTGTTTATAACACGTTTCCCCAAGATGGTTTTACAAAAAACTAATAATATCACAGTATTATAATGCTTTATTAATTTTCAAATATATTAATAGATAGCTAACGATGAAAAGCTGCTAATTGTTTAAAGACATGTATGTAGCAATTCTCCGGCAGATGACAGAAATTAGTCGGATACCGAAGTTTGACAAGTTTACGTAAAAGAAGAAATATGTTGATGCCTCTTTTAGACGAAGATAGCAAATCCACTAAGTAAAGGCTCATTTACAAATGTCAGTATACTCGGCCGAATAAAATGCGCGTGCATCACTAGCAGGAGATTTTGTATTTACACATGCTAGTTTACTGGCATGCTTTTTTGCATGCGTGTTTAATTGAGTGTACTGTTTTTGAATGTAGCGTCGTCCTAGATCGATCTCAGAAGCCAATACAAGACAAGGGTATTATTTGAAAATAAATTATTAATATGAGTAATCAGGTTATAAAGAGACATATAGACGACTTAACAACGGTTTATCTGACGAATTAGAGGACACATTGGAGGATATATTATTGAGTGAACAGAAGCCAAACGGAAGAAGAACTATAGTGTGAGTCAGAAATTAGATCGCACGTTGTTCAGCTCTGGGAGCTTCTAGCACCCTTTTGCAGGAACTGAGAGCTGACGATAGGAATGATCTTCGAATGGGAGTATTATTTCAACACTACTTGTAAAACACCTGAAACGTAAACAATAATGTGCTAATAGATGTCTACATTTGCCAGTACACTAGTGCTTTTAAAGCCCCACTCTAGCATGAAAAAGTGGAGCTGTGTCCGAGTGCATTCGCAAGCCAATTGCACTAGCGCCAGTGACTATTCACACATATTATTTGAATGCTAGTGGAGTACTCGGCGGAGTACACTGGCATGTGTAAATGAGCCTTAAGCACCTACTAGTAAATTAGCGTCCCTCTTTTTGATCTATCAAATCAATACATATTTGATTGACTTTCTTTCAACCAGAATTCTGGTCTATCCAACTAGTTCCAGATAATTATCTTCATATAGTTGGTAAGATTCAGATCATTGATTATTATTTAAATTAATTAAAATAACCAAATATAAAAACCAATCCACTAACAATTCCATGGATTTTTTTTTGAGAACTGGGAATAGAGTCCTATCACAATGATGTGTATTTTGAATATTCCTAATAACAAAATAATGTTCTTGTCTTTATATAAGTAATTTATATTTTCATTTTCTATATTTTTATTTTTACTCAATGTTTTTTAATTACAATCACTTCACCACTATAATTTAATAATTGCTATTAATTTAATTTTACTATTAACATTATAATAATGTGATTTCACTGAAAGATATTGACATACAATAATTAAACAACTAAATTACATTTAATTTTATTATTATCATTAAAATCTCATGTAATTTCATTGATATAAATAATTGTCTCCATAGTTGTTTAATTCTTTGTCATGTGTCAATTTAATTTCCATTGTTCTTTCTTCGAGTTGTACTTTTCTTAAAGGACCGGTAATGTCACCGAAAGAAGTTGCCCTTGATTAATTATATTTATTGTTGTTTGAGTTTTCTTTCCTAATTGTTAAAATGAGATATCTTAAATAACATTTAGTGAATAATTATTAAATAAAGTTGGTGGTCACTCTAAAGTTTTGATTATAAAGCATTTTTTAAAATCCAATTCTATTATTTCTTCTACTTTTAATCTTAGCAGTGATGAAAAATCATTAAATTTTAATAGTGACTGCTCAATTAGCGGGTCCGTGTTAAATTAGAAAGTTGTTTAATCCACCTAACTATAAAATATGCTTAGAAAAAGAAAAACCCACCTGAATAGAGAAAGTAAGTATTGAAGTGCCGGAACAGCATCAATTTGAGGTAAGTCAGTTGGGATGGTGATTAAAATTATAGGTCTTCCTTCTTTGTCTCGTCCCCCGGGCAGAGTTACCAACCGTCCTGTTAGGCATGACACGTCATACCTATTTTCCATAGCCTGAAACAAATGTAAAAGTCTCTTTTATCTTAAAAATTCTAAATGCAAAAAATCTCTTCAACTGTTTTTTAAACAATAATATTCAATCTATTATATTTGTAACTCTTCTCTATTTTTAAACAATAACTGATTTATATCAATAAGGGTTTACATCCTTTTGAAAACACTAAGGAGTACAAGCACAACCGGAATTTAGGTCCTTTGAGCAAGATATAAAACACTTAGAAGTGCAAATACAGAAAAATATAAAAGCAGTGAAGTAAAACATAATATATAAATTCGGAGTAATCCACAAAAGAAATGTTTCTAAAGTAAGCCCTGGAAAATTTCACCTGTAGGAGCATATAAATCTTCTTCTTTTTAAGTGTTAATTTAGATTTAATTTAGATACCTGTGTAGTTATCACGGACATGACTGTCTTCGTCCGTCATGGCATACTTTACCATTTTTTGTGGATCACTATTTACAATATAAAATATAGATAACGTTGTCATCTTCGATGAGAAAAATAAAACTAAATAAAAACTAAGGGTAGAGTAAAATTGAAATTGATATTTATGCTTAATGTAAATAAAGCAAAACAGGCAAACCATAATATAAAAGAGCAAGTTAATAGGGTTAATAGAACTTCTGCAGAAATCAGGAATAAGCAACACTGGAAATATAAAATTACCTTTGACACATTTCTTATTAATTTGAATAGGATATGTGGAAATTAGAATTAGAAATACTGAAGTAACCGATCAACTTTATTGATTTCACTCCTTCATTACAAAGTCTAACCGCCATGGGCCCGAACACCAGCAATATTTCCCACTCATGACATGATGCACGCGCAGATGAGCTTAAACTAAAATAGGGAATAACAATACATTACACTTCCTTCCTTAATAAAAACAAATATATAAAAACAAAAATAATAAATTAAATTACATTTTATCATAATTAAGACGCTGAATTGGTTTAATTTCTCTTTTAGTGTCTATTTGGACATAATCTTTTTAAAAATCTTCATCTGAAACATTATCACTATTAATCTCAGGATCAGCTTTTAATATTAAATGATGTTGTTTATTGTGATTGTGTTTTAACACTCGTTTATTGCCTATTCCCTTACCGCTGTCCAGTGTGTGCATTCAAAGATAGTGTATAATAGTCCAAATCTCTCCATTTTATCTTATTTCATGCCATAAGGTCTTTAATGATCGTTTTGCTCAATCTGTCACATTGGCTCTACATCTTATTTAATTTCTACATAATTATTTTCGATGCCATCACTTTTCCATGCTTTTAAAAATATGGGTGGTAGTCCAGCTATTGTTAGTATGGCTGTAGTGGGGCATGTCCTGTACCCGGATGTATCCTTATCCTAGCTTCCTATTTATTCGTTCCATCATATCATTATAGTATTTTTATTTTAAAGTCCTTTCCCAGACCTTGTACATCGTATAAGAATGAAGATAAAACTACACTTACCAGACTTTTCCTTTTGTGTGCCGTTGATCCAGAGATATTCGGGTTAATTTTTGACATTGTTTTCAGTTTTTTCGTCGCTTTAAGTATGCTTGTCTAACAGGCACGTCATTCTGGTGTTTTTGTTAATTATTACTCTCATATATTTTATGTCATTTTGGCTGCTAATAGTAAAGTTTCCTATTAGAATTGCCACTTTTGAATTTTTAGGGGCTATTTTAATTTCTATTATGTCAAAGTCATCAGCATAAGCCATAAGAGTGATTTCCTTTCCGATGTCTAATTCTAGCACCTCGTTATAAAATATATTCCACAACGTTGGCCCCAGAACCGATCCCTGAGAGACTCCATAAGAAAGTATGTATTTTTCTCTCTTTCAGTGTCAAGTTTACACTTAGTCAGGTACGATTTTATGATTCTACGGATATATTAACTTACTTTGGCTTTATTTAGTACCTTAACTATACTGTCCATGGGGCAGTTTTGAAGGCATTTTCTATATCCACCGTAATCATTGCGCGAAAATTTATCTTCTTTTGGGCCTTTTTCTGATTTTTTTATGGAATTCTAAGTACTATTTGAAGAGCATCTATAGTGGATATCTTAGATCTAAATCCAAATCGGTTATCGTTGAGTACCATGTTTATGTCTGGTTCTTTTTCGAGGTACAATTTAATTAGCGTTTTTAGTGTTTTTGGTTTCGTGAGCCTTATTGGTTGGTTTTTTAATCAGTATTATCCTAGCCGGTTTCCACGGTGTTGGGAATTTCCCTCTTTCTATGAGGTCATTATCCATTTTCGCTAATATTACGGGAATTTTTTCACCTATTAATTTTATAATTTCAGGTATTATACTATTTGGCCCTGCGACTTTATTCGGTTTGATGTCGTTTATTGCAAGCTTGATTTCTTCATCTTTTCTAAAACATCATTCAAAACATAAACTTTCTATAGGTATTTTATTTTATTTAGTCCACTTTTTGCAATTAATGCTTTTAATTCCTTTTAATAAATGGTGAATGATACTGTTTATCTTTATAAAATGCCTCTAAATTTAAAGTGACATCTACAAATATTTATAGTCCCTCAATATTTATAGTCCCTCATGCACATACTTTGATTACTATACGAGGCAAGAGAGAGGTCCGACACGCCCAACATAGGGCACGGCCATTTTGAACCCTGTGACACAGTTTACAGCTAAAGAATCAGATCGCTCACTCTGCGTCGGCACTTTGGATCTCAATGTTTCAGTTTATACACTGTGCAACTCGGATAATACAATATATGACAACCGCATATAATAAAACAGCAGTCTTCTGCGTATCCTGAATTTGTATCCCTGGAGTGGATGTTATTTTGGAACTTTCAACTGGTCCGAGTGAGCTAACTGATTCTTTAGCAATAAACTGTGACTTCAAAAATAATATTCACTGACACTGACAGCAGCAAGCAAAATATCAGGTGCGTTTTAATCATCCGCTACTGCTTCCGGAATTGTCGGATTAGTCGTTTTAACCTGTCAGATTAAAACAAGAAAACCGACAATTCCGAAGCAGAAGCGGATGATTAAAACGCACCTATTAAAAATATTGCGCCAAGATGTAGGCAACACGTAATAAGGGTTCAAAATGGCGGAGTTTTCTATCTCCTTTTAAAAGGCACTCAGAAAGCTGCGCAGTGCGACCATTCTCCGTATAGTAAAAGAAAATCAAAGTATGTGCCCTCATGTGACTGCAAAAAGTCACACGTCGTGGATTTTGTTTGATATTTGTCGTCGGGTACAGGGAAGGGGGGTGAACACATTCAAAATCATGTCTCTTATTGACAGATTTTTCCTGGTAATGAAATAATTTACTTCTAGACGTATATAACATTGAAAAGTTTCTTTTCAAGCATTTTTGTCATCCGGTTCTCTGAATTTCGGTTTATGTGTAGAAATTTCTCTACATCGATAGTAGCAAAACCAGACGACAGAAAGTTCTTGCAAATTTTTTTATTGTTATAGACGACTAGAAGCAAATTATTTGAATGTTAGCAAAAAAACTAAAAATCTATTGCTAAGGAACAATATTTTGAATTTGACAGGCTACACGACATCTCTCACCATCAGGACATAGTACATGTTTCACCCCCTTCCCTGCATCTAACTACAGATAGCAAACAAAAACACGACATACCACTTTTGCTGTTAGATGAGGGACTATTAGATTCCTCTGATTAATTACCATTCATACAAAACAAAAAAATTTAAATGGAAAAAACGATTAAAATTTCAAGTATAATATAATTTTTTTTTCACTAATTTACTATTGAAAATATAAAAAATTGATTCATTATGTATATTACAAGTAGATATTTCTTGAAACGTTTATAGAAAAGATATTTCTATCAATAATTACATCCAAAAAATAAATATTAAATGAGATGAGATTCACTAGTTGACTGACTTTATTACATTTCACTCTGTAAGACGTTGGATTAGTTTTTATGATTGAAGTGAACCATTACACTTGTTGATAAAAAAATTATAAGAGGACTTGATTGATAACGGCAATAATGAAGTAAAGACATTCGAACAGTTATTTTTCTTATAAAAAATTTAAATAGATAAATGAAAAATAAAAGTTTCGTAAAATATAACTAAATTATTATGAATGTCGTTGTCGGTGCATCCTCGACATTTAAGAAAAAGAGATTGCCAATGTAAACAATGTTCTCACGATATTCGCATAATTAAACCAATCCCAACTGCTTATTTAACTAAAAAAAATATATAAATGTTTTCGTAAAAATAACAATATGAAGTGGAAAAAAGCATCTAACTTTTACAAAAAAAAAAACATTTCATATAAATTTATCTTGGCTTTTTATGAAAAATGGGTGAATGTTTTTTCCTAATTAAAATATATATATTTTATTTATTTGTTTATTTATTTATTTATGATGGGATTTAGGGTTTCCCCAAATAGTTGCTATTACAGAACACTGGTTACAAGTTGGTGAACCAGTTTTTGTCGAAAAATATACTATCGTCATCAGATATGATAGAAGTAATACAGACCATGGTGGAACTCTAATTTTATCCTTAGACAAGGACTTTTCTGCTGTATCTAAATACGACTTTCTACAAGCTGAAAATTTCTTCGAATTTTCCATTGTAAACAACAAAAACATTGATTTGTTTATTATTTGTATTTATAGAACACCTAAATCAAATGTTCACCTCTTTCTAGAGAATCTTCTTAATCTACTTGACGCATTGCCTATAAAAAGTAAGAAAATTTTATGCGGCGATTTGAATATTGACTTTGCTAATGTATGTGCTACTCAAAAGTCTTTGATCAATATTTTTGAATCATTCAGTCTCACTATGCACGTAAATTCTCCAACTAGAATGACAGAAACAACATCTACAATTATAGATTACGTAGTCTCTGATTTTAAACCTGTTGATGTAGAGCACCAAGTAATTAGCTCAGGTCTCTCAGACCACGAAGCAGTATTTGCCAAATTTTTGATACCCCG